AGAGTTGACCAAGTTGGACTTTTTAGTACTTGACCTTGGATCGGAGTTTTGATGATTCGGTTAGATCCGGATGATGATTTTAGACTTGAGCGTATGTCTGAATTTGCATTTGGATATTTCTAGAAGGTTTCGACACTATTTGGCGAAAGTTGGAAATTTAAAGTTTGGGAATATTTATAAGTTTGACCGGGAGTTGACTTTGATGATATCGGGTTTGAATTGTGATTTCAGAAATTGGAATAGCTTCTTTATATCATTTGGTACTTGAGTGCAAAATTTGAGTTTATTCCGAGTTGATTTGATAAGGTTCGGCTCGAGTTTTGAGAGTTGAAAGATTCAAAGTTCATTAAGTTCGATTTGAGGTGTGATTCCTTATTTTGATATTGTTATGCGTGATTTGAGGCCTCGAATAAGTTCAAGTTATGTTATGGGACTTGTTGTCATGTTCGAACAGGGTCCCGAGGAGCTCAGGTGAGTTTCGGATAGGTTTGGGTTGTGTTGCGCTCGTTTTTTTATATTTCGACGTCGTTTCTTCAAGCATAAGTGGTACCGCATTAAGCAAATGAGCTCCAATTTCTGTTTTGATTGAAGCATTAGATCCTTATTATAATTTTGAAACCATAGCAACTGGAATCATCAAGTTTCGTCATTGTATGAGGAATTTATGGTCATTTTACTAAGAATTGGGTTACCAGATTTTTTTTCATATTAATTACGAATTTGCCACTGAATTCGTACTAAAAAATATGCACTATGTCCAAAAATTAAAACAAACATATCTCCTTCATTATAAGGTCAAATTGAGTGATTCAAAAGCCTAACTTGACTAAAATGTCATAAAGAATCCATTGGAGGTATCAAAAATGAGTTTCGGGATCGTTTGTCCCGAGAAATGAGGCAGAATAGCTGGCAGAAACATATAATATCGAGAGTTTGTTCATTTGGTCATATTTTGAGTTGGGGAGCTCGGATTTGGGCGATTTTGGAGACGATTTTCACCACACGAATTAGGGTAAGCATTATTAGCTCAGTTTTGATTATATTTCATGAATATCTTCTCGTTTTTGGCATTTGGTGGATTAATTCAAAAGAGAAATTGGGAGTTTTTGTCTAAAGCTTCATAGAGTGAAATTTTGAGTTTTGAACATCGATTCGGAGTCAGATTTGAGTGAAACTAGTATGGTTGGACTCGTAATTAATGGATTGTCGGATTTTGTGAGTTTCATCGGGTTCTGAGGTACGGGCCCAGGTTTGACGTTTTGGTTGACTTCAGGATTTTGATTAAAGATTCAACCTTTATCATTTGGAATTATTTTCTTAGGCACTATTTGATGTATTTGAGTTACTTTTGGCTAGTTTTGAGCCGTTCGTAGGTTGATGTGCACGGAATAGAATTTTAGAGTATTGGTTGGCTTGCTCGGTATTGAATTCGGCTTGTTTGAGGTAAGAACTCTATCTAAACTTGGTTGAGATACTAGTTGCCTGAATTATTTGTGATAGCCACGTGCTATGGGTGCGCATATGTGAGGGGTTTGAGCCCATGTGCGAGTACCAGGGTATTTATCCATGCTCGGGGTAGTGCTTAGGCTATGATATGCCTAGAGTTGACTGTTATGCTTTAACCTATAACGATTTTCATATTTGTATCATTGTTGTAAACTATTTGAGCCATGTTTGAGGTGACGAAGAGGCTAATTTCCTGAATAAAACTTGGTAATTGCTCATTCTGTGATAATTTATCGATTTTAGCTACGATAACACACATTGCACATGCCTACACTTTAGCATGTAATTATACCAGTCCATGAGCATAAAATCTGATATTTTATCCATCATATACATGTGTTCTTGTACACTTGCTTCGCTACGATATGATTTGGACTCGTGTGCCTTTGACCACGTCAGGCAGATTAATACTATAGCACGTGAGTTGTCCGTACGGATCCAGACATTGATACTATAGCATGTGAGTTGTCCGTACAGCACGTGATTTGCCCGTGCGGATCCATATATTGATAATATAGCACGTGAGTTGTCCGTGCTGATCCAGATATTGATATTATAGCACGTGAATTGTCCGTGCAACACGTGAGCTGTCCGTAGGGATCCAGATATTGATATTATAGCACGTGAATTGTCCGTGCAACACGTGAGCTGTCCGTAGGGATCCAGATATTGATAGTATAGCACGTGAGTTATCCGTGAAGCACGTGAGTTGTCCGTGCGGATCCAGATATTGGTACTATAGCACATGAGTTATCCGTGCAACACGTGAGTTGTCTGTACGGTTGATATTGATGTGAGCTCTGGGAGATCTGGTTACATTTCATGATTTCATACTTATTTATATCATTAAATTAGTGAATTGAATGGAAGAAAATGAGAAATTTTGTAAAAACCTTTCAAAATGTAAAATGAAATTTTGAGGAGCGATCCGATGTCAGAAATCTTTCATCTTTACTTACCAATTGTCGCGCCCCCAAACTGGGATGGGACGTGATTGGCACTCAACCCTTACCACTCGTTGAGTGAACCATGTACTATTTGTATCAAACTTCAAGTTCAATAGCAAAGAATCTAATGTGCTTAAATATTAATTCTAATCAAGTTGTAGTTCTTAAGCTGACTGATAAAAATAATAAATAAAGGATAAATCCCAAACTATTTCAATACTGACCCACTAACAAGTCATGAACCTCTAGAATTTGAAAAATAAAATTTAAAATACACAGCCTACAGGGGCATCCCCGAAAATAAAATAAACGTAAAGAAAAAAAAAGATATAAATATTAGTCTGAAAAGGGTTCGCTACCACTGGGGTGAATCAACAGAGTCTATAAACTGAATCTAGAATATCTCCTCTAGCAACGTGCCTCATTACCTGCATCCTCAATATCTTCCACACGAAGTAGCAGGCCCAAACGGGCTAAGTACCACCAAAGGATACCCAGTAAGTCTCATTGGCTACCTCCTAAAAAGGCGGAGTGAGACCTTCTGGAAAATATAAGAAAGAAAAGAGATATAAGGAAAATCATATAAATCATATAAAATTTTACAACCAAGTAATAAGCTAGAAACTGAAACTGTAAGCTAAAGTGTAAGCTGAAACTGAAACTTAACGTAGAAATTGAGCCCATAACTGGCATCTGAAATAGAAATTGAGTTATATATATTTTAAGATGTAACTTTTCAAAGTTAATTGTCACGCATAATGGCCCTGCGTAGGTGAGCATCTGGGAACACGTACGGGGGAGTGTCGGCCTATCTCCCTAACAAACAGTTGGCACCTGCGAGCGTGGGGTAGGTAACCCTGACATCATGGCACTCACGCTGGGGGGAGGTTGGCCACTTCTCCCTACTAAATGTGAATATCACTAATAAAGGCACATAACAATTGGTAATTCACATAAGCATGTATTCATGTCACATATAATATCGTACTGAATAAGAATACGTGAACTGAGTATTGGATCATGAGAAGAAATGACTTAGCTTTATCTAACATATGGAGCACAAGAGTTATAATGGAATTTCCTACTAGGAAAGTAAACCTCAACTCACCTCAAGTCTTAGCTCCAATTCGTCCTTTCAAACTTCGCGGGAGTTCAACAACTCACGATCTACAAATATTTTGGCTAGGATCATCAGAATATACTTAACAAGTTCAATTCACCACCAATTGAACTAATTTCTAAATCATGAATTACTCAATATAATCGACACTTAATGTGAAAAAAATATATTTGTCTGTCAAACTTACTGCTACAATATCCTTAACCACTTGGTATATGGAAAGGAAGAAACATATTGTAGTATCAAAAATATTACATGTCCATACTTAAATAACACCATCCAAAACCTATGACCCTAATAATAATCCAATTACTCTAGCAACATTCAAATCTGATCCTCACTTTACCCTTAAGGCTTTGTTCATTAATAGATGAAAATAATCTCTCCATTATTTTAATATTTCAAATCATGATCCCAATCTCAAAAAATACTTGGCAGCAACTCAAATGGGTTTAGAATTTATCAAATTGCTTTTAATTTACTTCTTGTCATCATTCTAAAGAATTTGATATCCACGTCAATCCTAATAAAATTCAAGGCATACTACAGGGATAAGATTATATATCTACATACCTGATTGTTGGTTGAATTACACAAGAAAATTTTCAAGCTTTCTAGTTCCCTGCTCACACTAATTATGTATCATCAAACTCCTCAAATAATAATAGTCCAAGCAACAGATCAAACAATTGTTCTTCTTTGTTAATCCTTAACGCGGTCGTCAGGCACAAGTAAGTCTTCTGCAACTTTTTTTTTCTCAATTTGATTCCAGAGCTAATGAGGTTTTAAAACAGCTTTCCCTTAAGCCATCCTAAGGTTCTGCAAAGTAGGAAAATATTAAAAAGTGGGGTTGGTCCACTTATTTTCTCCTTTATCTAAAGTGTGGCCCCATATAAATTCTTAATCAAGTAAATGGTATTTACAAGGCTATTGATGGCCTCATATACTATACTATGAGCCACGTTTTGTTTTTTTGAAAAAGTTTATTTATTCTATCCATAAGATCTATTTCCATATTTAAGGATAAATTAGTCCAAAAACAATGACGGGTATTATATTCTCCCCCCCTTTAAATATCGTTCGTCCTCAAACGTGGAACCGTAGTTATTCCTACGGATTGAAATATTTTCTTTGGCATCTTGCATTCTTAGAACCTTAGGGACTCGAATTTTTCATTAACTTTCCAAATTTCTAAAAATTTCGGTAGAGTCTCCATTGTAACTGGAGCTAACTATAAATTTTCAACCTGTCCAACAACCCAATAACAATAACACTTTGCACCTGTAGCCACTGAATCCAATAATATACAACATCAAGGCATATACATATCCCCGCCAAAGCCATTTTACATCATTATAAGCACAAATATCACATAACTTGTCAATCTAAATATTTTAAAGCTTAAAATGAATTATGTACTTGAAATCTCAAACAAATAAGGATATTTTCTTCATGGCTTCCTCGGGCTCCCACGTAGCTTCCTCAGCTAAGTGGTTTCCCCATATTACTTTCACCGAAGCAACGTTTTTGGTTCGAAGTCTACAAACCTGCCTGTCAATTATAGCTACAGGGACCTCCTCATATGTTAGAGTATCATAAATCTCTATATCATGTCTATCAAGTACATTACTCGGGTCGTGAAAGTACTGTTTCAGCATGGACACATGAAAAACAGGATGCACAGAAGATAACTCTGGAGGTAAAGCTAGTCGATACGCCACAAGCCCAATCCTTTTAAGAATTGGATAAGGCCCTATATATCTTGGGCTAAGCTTCCCTTTTTTACCAAACCTCATGATACCCTTCATTGGAGACACCTTTAAAAATACATAGTCACCCTCTTTGAACTCAAGATCGCGACGTCTTATATCTGAGTATGACTTTTGTCGGCTTTGAGCTGTTTTAAGTCGTTCCTGAATAAGTTTCACCTTTTTCAAGGCATCATGTACTATGTTTGGACCAATAAGCTTTGTTTCACCTAACTCAAACCACCCTACAAGCGAAGGACATCACCTCTCATATAGGGCCTCGAATCAAGAATACATGCTCGTAACATATCTTCTAAGGTTCGAATTGTCCTCTCGACCTGCCCGTCCATTTGAGGGTGAAGAGTTGTACTTAGATTAACTCGGGTACCGAGACCTTCCTGAAAACTCTATCAGAACTGGGCAATAAACTGTGCACCCCTGTCAGAAATAACAGACATGGGAGTACCACGCAACCGAACAATCTCCTTTATGTATAATGTTGCATACTGAGGTGTTGTGTAGGTTGTTTTGATTGGCAAAAAGTGAGCTGACTTAGTGAATCGGTCCACTATGACCCAAATTGAGTCATGTTTCTTAAAAGTTCGCGGCAAGCCCACCACAATTTCCATACTTATTCTCTCCCATTTCCATTCTGGTATTTCAATGACTTGAGCTAAGTCACCTGACCTCTAGTGTTCAGCTTTTACTTGCTGATAGATAAGGCACCATGATACATAATCTGTAATATCTCGCTTCATATTATTCCACCAATAAATATCCCTCAAATCAGGATACATTTTAGTAAAACCTGGATATATTGAATAGCTGGAGCTATGAGCTTCTACCATAATTGCCCTTCGAAGATCTTCTACATTTGGCACGCATAAGCAGCCATCAAATCTTATCACACCATGCTCATCAAGTGCAAAATTCTTAATCTTGCCACTGAGGACACCTCCCTTGAGCTTAAGCAAGCTAGGGTCATCAAATAGTTTGGCTTTAACTCGCTCTACTAAAGTAGACTTAGCACCCATACTTGCTATCAACCCTCCATCACACTTCTCATCGAGACGAACCCCTTGGCTAACTATTTGCTGGGATTCCTTAACTATTGGAGGTTCGACCACACACAACCTGGTCAAACTCCCCATGGATCTTCTGCTCAGAGCATCAGCAACTACATTCGCTTTGCCGGGATGGTAAAAGATATTACAATCATAATCTTTAAGCAACTCTAACCACCTGCGTTGTCTCGGATTCAACTCTTTCTACTTAAATATATACTGCAAACTTTTGTGATCTGTATATATGTCACATTGCTCTCCATAAAGGTAGTGACGCCATATTTTTAGACCAAAAATAATTGCTGCTAGCTCAAGATCGTGGGTAGGGTAATTTATCTCATGATTCTTTAACTGCCTAGAATCATAAGCAATTACCTTATCATTCTGCATAAGAACACATCCTAACCCTACTGTGGAAGCATCACAATAGATCACAAATTTACCTGTAGGGGTAGGTAGAGTCAGGATTGGGGCTGTAGTCAACCTGTTCTTGAGTTCTTGAAAACTTTTCTCCGAGGCTTCAGACCATTGGAACTTCACATTTTCTGAGGTAACTTTGTCAACGGGGAAGCTACTGAAGAGAACCCTTCTACAAAATGGCAGAAGTAATCTGCCAACCCTAGAAAACTGTGAATCTCTGTAGGGGTCGTCGGCCTAGGCCAACTCTTAACTTCTTCTATTTTCTGTGGGTCTGCTCTAATGCCTTCTTTCGAGACCACGTGTCCCAAAAATGTAACTGTATCGAGCCAAAATTCACATTTGAAAAATTTGGCATAAAGCTGACGGTCCTTGAGTATTTGAAGAACTGTTCTCAAATGATTCTCATGCTCTTTCTAGCTACGGGAATATACCAAAATGTCATCGATAAATACTATGACAAAGGTATCTAAGAAAGGCTTGAAAACTCTATTCATTTAGTCCATAAAAGATGCTAGTGGATTGGTCAACCCAAAGGATATCACTAAAAATTCATAGTGACCGTATCGAGTCCTGAAAGCTATTTTAGGGATGTCTTCTTCTTTGATTTTTAACTGATGGTATCCCGATCTCAAATCTATTTTTGAGACATACATGGCACCCAACAACTGATCAAATAAGTCATCTATCCTGGCAAGTGGATATTTATTTTTGATAGTAACCTTATTCAGCTGGCGGTAATCTATACACATCTGTAAGGAACCATCTTTTTTCTTCATGAACAATACTGGAGCACCCCAAGGTAAAACACTAGGTCAAATAAAACCCTTATAACTGCTTCTTGAGTTCATTTAGCTCAGATTGAGCCATTCTATAAGGAGGAATCGAGATTGGTTGAGTTCCTAGCAATGTGTCTATGCCAAACTCAATCTCCCTATCTGGGGGTATCCCTAGGAGATCATCCGGGAACACATCTGAAAACTCTTTCACAATCGATACTGATTCAAGCACTGGGGAGCCAACTTTCATATCCCTCACATGTGCTAGATACGCCAAACACCCACTGATCACTAGTTTTCTAGCCTTAAGGTAAGAAATAAACTTACTCACAAACGTACCCACTTCACCTCTAATTATAATTGAATTTTCCCCAATAAATGAGAATTTAACCGTCTTCGCATGGCAATCAACTGTAGCATGATAAGAAGATAACCAGTTCATGGCAGCTATGATGTCAAAGTCTATCATATCTAGCAAGTTCAAATCGGCTAATGTTTCTCGGCCCTGAATTGTGATGATGTAGTTTCTGAATATATACTCAACTTTAACAGATTCTCCTATAGGTGTGGAAACCTCAAACGGAACCCCTAATTTTTTTTGGTGCTTTTCCAAACTCGACACAAAAATAAGGAGACACATAGGAGAAAGTTGAACTAGGATCAACTAATACATAAGCAAGGCGACAACAAACCGAGAGAATACATGTAATAACTCTGTTAGACGCCTCAGCATTCTGCTTGTCTAGAACTGCATAGAATCTGGCCGGTCCGTCTCCTCCCTGAGCTCCACCTCTATTGGTACCACGACCAGTCTGAGTATTAGATGCTTGAACCGGAGGAGGTGCAACTATAGAATTACCCATGGATGTTGCATGTCTAGTTGGAGTTTTCCCCAGAGCTTGTCCAAGCAGTGGACAGTCTCTCTTAATATGACCCAGATCATGGCATTGGAAACAATCTTTCTGACCCAAAAGGCATTTTCATGTATGTCTTTTGCTGCACAAAGGACATATAGGATAGGAGAACCGAGGTTGGCCTTGACTAGTTGAACTTTGCCCATGAGGGGCCTGAGCCTTACTCTGCTGGCCATGTCTGAGTGGCGATGGATAAGGAGACGAGTGAGCCATTAATTGAATGCGAACTGAATGATTCATGTTCTTACCCCCAACTGAAAATCCACTATAAATACCCGTTGTTCTAGCCTTCTTGCTATTATCTCTAGCTTCCCTGGCGATTTTATCAAAAGCCTCCTTACGCGTAGCGATATTGACAACCTGAAGATAAGTCTTGTCATCCTGATGTGAAGTCATATCTTTTATCATATAAGGATTCAAGCCTTCAATGAACCTTCTCACTTTTTCTCTCTCTGTCAGTATCAAATTAGGTGCATACTCTGTCAATTTTGTAAATTCCATCTCATATTCAGTAACTGACAGGGTATGTTCGAACTGATGTCAGATCTCATCCATCCGACTACTAGGCAAAAACTTGGCCTGAAAGCTTCTTTGAACTGGGGCCAAGTAAGTTGAGGTAATGTAAAATCTATGGCCTTCTTGTAACCTCTCCACCATTGTCCTGTTGCACCCTTCAATCGAAACCCAATCAACTCTATGGCTTGTGTTTCAAGACAACCCAAAGAAACAAATATTTCCTCTATCTCTTCCAAAAATAACATTGGTTCATTTGGTTTATCTGTACCATTATAAGTAGGAGGGTTTAATCTCAGAAAGGCACGTGGATTAATTTTTCATGTTGGTAACTGCACTGTCTAGGCAATATTTGAAGGGACAACTGGTGGTGGTACCTCGATTAGAGCTTGAAAATCATCTCATATAACCTCTTCATCTGAATAATGAGGGTCCTGAGGAGGAGCATGAACACGTGCAGCCCGACCACCACCTGGAGGGGCTAGGGACTCCAGAAAGTACAAAATTATGTCAATTCAATTATCCCGCTGATGTGGTGGTACCCGATCATTAACAACATGCTGAGGTGGAGTTTGTGCCTGTATAGTGGCCCTACCACGAGCATGATTACCTCTGGCATTTGCACCTCTACCCCTAGCATTTTGACCTCTACCTCTACCTCTGCCACGTCCTTTAACTGCAGATGGTGCTATTGGTGCGGCTTGCACCTCTGATGCTGCTTCTTGATGATTAGCAGCTAGTATCTTAATATTGTTAGCAGCAGAGGATGACGTTGATCTTTTTCTAACCATCTTGTTTGCGCTAAAACGAGAGATAAATGGGTGTTAGAATTTTGAAACATTTAGCTCTAACGCACGATATAAGAATCAAAGGAGAAAACAAAATTCCTAACATGTCCTGCAACCTCTCAAATATAAGTATGGTGCACAACATACGCATATTTGAGACTCTGCTAGACACGACTCATGACTCCCTAGAACTCCGTAAACCTGGTCGCTCTGATACCAACTTGTCACGCCCCCAAATTGGGATTGGACGTGATTGGCGCTCAACCCTTACCACTTGTTGAGTGAACCCTGTACTATTTGTATCAAACTTCAAGTTCAATAGCAAAGAATCTAATGTGCTTAAATATTAATTCTAATCAAGTTACAGTTCTTAAGCTAACTGATAAAAATAATAAATAAAGGATAAATCCCAAACTACTTTAATACTAACCCACTAAGAAGTCATGAGCCTCTAGAATTTGAAAACAAAATTTAAAATACATAGCCTACGGGGGCATCCCCGGAACTAAAATAAACGTAAAGAAAAAAAAAGATATAAATAATAGTCTGAAAAGGGTTCGCTACCGATGTGGTGAATCAACAGAGTCTATAAACTAAATCTAGAATATCTCCTCTAGCCACATGCCTCGTTACCTGCGTCCTCAATACCTGCCACACGACGTAGCTGGCCCAAACGGGCTAAGTACCACCAAAGGATACCCAGTAAGTCTCATAGGCTACCTCCTAAAAAGACGGAGCGAGACCTTCTGGAAAATATAAGAAAGAAAAGGGATATACGAAAAATCATATAGATCATATAAAATTTTACAACCAAGTAATTAGCTAGAAACTGAAACTGTAAGCTGAAACTGAAACGTAACGTAGAAATTGAGCCCATAACTGATATCTAAAACAGAAACTGAGTTATATATATTTTAAGACGTAACTTTGCAAAGTTAATTGTTATGCATAATAGCCCTGCGTACGTGAGCATCTGGGAACATGTACGGGGGAGTATCGGCCTATCTCCCCAACAAACATTTGGCACCTTCGAGCGTGGGGTAGGTAACCTTGGCATCATGGCACTCACGCTGGGGGAGGTTGGCCATTTCTCCCTACTGAATGTGAATATCACAAATAAGGGCACATAATAATTGGTAATACACATAAGCATG